TGGACCTGCTTCCTTGCTTCCATTGCTCGTATACGAGAGTGAATTCTGCCAGAATCTAAGGAATGTATTTCATTAATTTTGCATGTATCATGGGTTGTGGCTAAATAAGACCCCTACTGTTTTTTATAATGATCCGTTACTATTTAGAGGATGAAATGGAACAAAAACTCTATTTTTGTCTGTTTTTCAGGTCGCTCTAGAATACCACGAAATTTTATAACAGGAAGGTAATCTGCCCACAGAATATGCGGGTCAAATGAACCCAGACTTGTTTGTGAAAATGACAAAATTTGTCATTTTTATTCCTGAAGGACATAGACCCGAGAAGTTGATATTATATCCAAGAGGAATGGTTGACCTTTGGCTGTATGTACTCGGATGTGAGAGTTACGTCTAAATATTTAAAGGTGTCTGTGTGTTATAATATTGCTAGGTATTACTATTTATTACAACAATGGAGGGCGGAACTGTTGCGTTGATCGCTTTGAAATTTTACATGAATTTCTGCTTTTGGTCAAGGACGACACCTATAATTTTCGGTGATGTTGAAAATATAATTAGGAGGTGTAATGAACCGAGTTTCTATTTTCTCTAGAGGTCATTATAATATACCGAACCTCACATATTTGAGGGGGATCTGACCGAATGCTTAGAACAGCTGTTAACATGGTGATCGGTCAATATTCCGAGGATGAAATTAACCAAAACCTAAAATGACCTAATTTTTATTTTATTACGTAAATACTCACCTCGAGAGGTGGAGGTGCTGACCTATAATCGATGAAGAGAGTGTAAATATCTCGAAATATTGTTCAATATAGAACCGCAGAATGTGAAGATGGTGATCGGTCAATATTCCGAGGATGAAATGAACCAAAACCTAAAGTGACCTAGTTTTTATTTCATTGCGTAAATACTCACCTCGAGAGGTGGAGGTGTTGACCTATAATCGATCAAGAGAGTGTAAATATCTCGAAATATTGTTCAATATAGAATCGCCAAATATTAGATTTTCGTGGAAGTTGGTATCATACTGGTTATTTTTTTCGGCTGTGAATTAATTTTTGAAACTTTTTTCACAAATTTTTGGAGAAAAAACATTTTGTACCATTAGTTATTTTTTCATGCTACAGCTCTGCACCGATTTTTCGTTAGTCTTGTAGAGTTCAAAATCTAAGAAAAATAGATTTTTAAAACTTCCTCCCTATTATTATTTCCATTGCTGTAACAATCCACTGTGCCGCAATCAACAAATGTACTCGCGCGCTCTCTCTATTCCCGTTCTCTTCAATGCAATGCATGACAATTTGGGGGGCTCGCTCTCCTCCCATTTAATTTCCAAAACAAACAGCTCCACCACAACACAGTTGACGTTCGGCTGTCATTCGTTTATTAACTGTCGTTGCGCGTAAACAAAAACAAAAATTGCGGGTTCAAGTGGGGCGGTAGACAACAAAAAAAAGTGAAAATATTTTGTTCAGTGATATTTTTTATTCACATTTTGTTCGATATTAAAATAAAAGCAATATTATGTTTATAAAATAAAACAACAATACAACAACAAACACCAATGGAATATTAACAAAATCAAGCAAAAAAAGTTTCCTAAATTGTGTTTGGCATTAACTTCTCGAATAATTACGCTTTGGACAACAGCAACAACAAAGACAACAAATGTAAGTGGAACTTGAAAGGAAATAAACAGAGCCAGACACACTTGCAGTTAAAATGATTATTATTTGATTACAGTGGCTCAATGCAATAATTGAAAAACGCGAAAAAGAAATCATTAAAAAGTGAAAAGCAAGGTAAAATTTATGTGGAAGATGCATCAGGACAGATATTGGTGCAGAGCTTTCAAATACATTTTTTTTAATATTTTCAGAGGCAGGCATTTTTACCCTAATTATGGAAATATGACTTTTCTTGGGCGACGTACCCGGAAGATCGTATACGGCTACCGCGTATATCCGATTCTACGAAACAAATTAGTAAAAATTTAATGTTAGTTTGGAAAAACAAATATTGCGATTTGCAATGTTCGGATTAAATCGAATTATTCCATAACTTTATATCGGATTAATAAATTTTCAAGGAGTGGACCAACGGGTTCCATCTTCAAGATTGTTACATACATATATATTCCCCCGATATTCCCCATATTCAAACTTGATTTATGTTTGAAAGAAATACTACAATGTGCAAAGTTTGGATGAAATTGCTTACACATTTGGAGAGTTATAGTGCGCTGCAGACAGACGGACGTACATTTGCATATCGATTCTAAATTTTCTGAAACGTATTTGGTCCGGAGAAACATGGCGTGTAAAATATTTCTATGAGGCACATTTTTGCCGTATCAAAACCGGTTCGTTTCGGCCGGCTCCAACATAAGTTGGAAAATGAAAATATCTAAAAATAAAATAGATTTTTAGATTATTAAATGTGTGATAACCCAAAGATCGACCGATATTTATAATTTTTCGTAGAATAACTTTGAAATCCCACGAAAACTTTAATTATAAAATTAGAACTAACTCGATCGATAAGTATGTCTAAAATCCGCATAATTTGGTGTTAACATTATATGAAGACCATATTGAAATATCCAATTTCGTTCCACCTCTACCGGGACCGACATTGATAATTTTTGGTGGAAGATGTGTCACCCAATAAACATCCAAAATATCAAATTAAAAAGTCATTTCGTTTAAAAGTGTTACCAAACAAGTTAATAATGGAAACACACTTATATTGGGGGCTATGTCATAACAAATACCAATATAACTCATTTCAGATATCAAATATCCTGGGTATAAAATCTACATCTTATATATTGCGATGTCGGTCCACGTTTTGATATAATCGACGTTTAACGGTACCCCGTCGCCTTTTTCTCTGAAGTGGTTATAATTGGTTATTTCAGGATTGTGGAGGCCGCAAAACATAATCGATCCAAATAGAGGTCTCGCCACATTTTTAAATACTTTGAAGCATATATTCCAATAGATGTTGCATTTTATTCCGATTTGGTGGTGGATTCAAATCTTTGCAGAAAGTTCTTTATAATAGGCCAACTTTTGACATAGGTCCCCATGCAAAGGACACGTTCAATCGTGGGCGGTGGAAAAAATCTTCGCATAGAATTTATAATATTGGTCCACGTTTTAACTAGCCTTTATATAAAGGTACACCCTGCCCCTCTTTTGATGTTTTAAAAAATTTTAATGAAATTTTCAAAGTTGCTATTTTTCAGCATTCCTGGTTTGGGTATGGCGAAAAACTTTTTTGTATAGGTCAGATTTCCAATAAAGGTCCAAATTTTGAAAGGTTACGTCTAATGTTAGTCATTTTTTATACCCTACACAACTATGTTGTCAGGGTATTATAGCTTTGTGCAGCCCCAAGAGTTTGTAACGCCGCGAAATATTGGTCATAGACCCACTTTTAAGTATACCGATCGTCATATCTCGACTAGCTGTAGTCGATCTAGACATGTGTGTCCGTCCGTCTGTCCATTATAATTTGTAAACATGATGCATCCACAGTTATGGACCAATCTTCATGAAATTTTGCATGTAGGATGGGTTCTGCCCAATGAAGACCCCTATTTTGGTAAAGATCGGTTAATATTAAGGGGATGAAATGGACCAAATACTTAATTTTTGTCGGTTTATCTAGCTGATCCAGAGGCCGCAATTATGGCCAAACATCACTGGTCCATGTTTTGACTAGCTCTCATATAACGGTACGTCCCGTTTTCAACCAAAGTGGACGGTAGAAAAAAATCTTCGTAGAAAATATTCAATATTTGATATAGGCCCCATACAGAGGTGTCGTCTCCAGGTATTTTGATTCGAATGGTCCGGATTTTCCAAACTTAGTGATTGTAGTTTGGCATTCCGGGTTCAATATACGTCCAACTTTTGGCATAGTCCTATACAACCAAAGTGGTTTTTATGTGGCATTTCGGTTTCATGGTGCGGGAAATAATCAGCAAAAAATATCTTCGCAGACTAATTTCCAGCATCATTTTAAAAATGTTGAAGGCCAACCGTAGTAGGTGTAATTTGGGATTCGAAGTTCTTGATGGGTAAAAAAAATTATGTTGACAAAACTAACCTTTAAGTATACATAGATGGTTCTAGGCGAAGTTTTCAAAATAAATGACGTTAAATTGGGATTTGGTTAACCTATTTTCAATATTTTGGCAGTGTTACGTCAAGTATCTCATAAACAAAGGTTTAGGTTCAACAAATTTAATTTCAGTTATTAAGACAGGTACCCTTAAAATAATCACCAAAAACCGGTAACAAATTTTTTGGACAATTTAATGTATTTAATCTCACAAATTGAAAACATATTATCTTCTGTTTATATATTTCATTTTTGGAGCCACTGTAAAAACGCTCATAAACATTTGTTTCCATAGAAACAATTTTTCCTCAGGCCCTGAACACTTTTTCACATTTTTTATGAAAAAAAATGGATACTCCGCCTCCAATTCCTCTTGATTTCTTTTGGTGCAATAAAATATTTTTGAGCCACTGTATATACGCCCATTTGCTATTAATTAAATAAATAAACAAAACATAAGCACAAGTTGTTCTTGTTTTGAAAACAAAAAACTTGATGAACACGCCGGTTTCAATGACCGATAAAACTTAAATGAGAATTATAAACAAAATCACAACAACAAACGTTAAACAAGTTTCTATGAAAATCCTTCATTGAAAATGGTATTATCGAAATCTCCCGTAATACTTTTTAATTACAAATAATCTTCTTCCCAAAACCGGTGTAACTTATGAACACCATTGTTTCAAAGAAAACATTTTTTTTTAATTAATTCTTTCAGTTTTCATTCGAACATGTTCGAAGATTTACATTTTCCAAATTAAATAGCTTTGAGTTACTGTCTGTCGTTTTTTTTTCAAAATTTACATACTAATGCATTTCTCTCTCATTTCTTTTTTTTATTGTTTCATTTCAGTTTTCACATCATGTCCGAATTTACGGAATATGTTGAACCCACCTGGCGTGGTCTTGATATGCGTAAATTAAAAGTTGACGAAGCTTACCTAATACCCAAAAGCTTGTATAATACCGTCACATATTTGTACACTCTATCCGAGGAGTGTTATACGGTAAGTTGTTCGCCGAGTTATTTTTATATTCAAAATAATGGCGTTAATTTAAATTTCTTTTTGTTGTTACAGTGTCCCTATACAAAGGTGAAAGCTGTGCCACAGCACCTGGCCAATGGTGATGCCAACTATGTAGACGTTACAACAACACTAAATGTGGCACACCCATTAAAATTTAAAATATTCGATAATGATGTGGGACGTTATGCTTTTAGCAATGAGTAAGTAACATTTTATCCCTCCTGTGGACGGTCTGGCTTTCTATACAGACGGATCCAATATGGAAGAAGGTACAGGGGCGGGCGTTTACTTTGAAAAGCTAGGCCTTGAGTTAACCTACAAGCTGGATTGCAACTGTAGTGTTTTCCAAGGTGAAATCTTCGCGATTTGAAAGGTACCGAAATTGATAAAAACTCTGGATGCAGAGGTCGTTTAACCGGTGACTATCTTCGTGGATGGTCAAGCGGCTCTTAAAGCCACCAAATCGTGTTATATCAAATCTGAGGCAGTCCTCAAGTGTAGAACAGCTTTGGAAGAACTTACTTACAGCTATCGTCTGTGTTGGGTACCAGGACACCGTGACATCTTGGGTAATGAAAGAGCAGACGAATTAGCTAGACGAGGATCCCAATCTAGCAATTGATGACTAAATCAAACCACCCATATGTCATCTTTACCGGAACTTTGAGGCGTTCTTCGCGAAAGACCCTATGAACTTTGGCACAACGAACCTATGTGCAATGTGTCAAGATCCATTTGGCCGACTCTGTCTGCCAAGTGGACTCACTCACTGTTGAACCTGAGCAAAGCTGAAATAAGAGTAATGACAGGAATCATTACTTATCATTGCAATATCTGTAGACTCTGTGTTGACGAGGAGAAGACGGAGACAATTGAGCATCTTCTGTGTCACTGTCCAACCCTGGCTTACAGGCGGCACAGACTAGTGGGTGCTCATTTTCCACCGGGTCTTAGCTTCTTCTCAACAACCGAACCTGTTCTAATCTACAGCATAATTAAAGTGCAACCTTGACACGTAATATATCTTCTGTCTTATCTCTATAGCCTTCGACATTATTCCAAACTTACCTTCTTATATCTTTCTGTATGTTTCTCATCTCTCTTTAGTTCCCCAATCTTCTATCCAATATAGATCTCTCCTTATATATTTTCTTCTCGTGGATGATCACAACGGACCTAACGGTATCTAAGTGCTGCAGCCTCATAAGTGACTGGACATCCCCAAACCTAACCTAAGTAACATCAATCGATTTGTTTCTATCTAAACAAATTAATTATGTTTGCTTGATTCATTCATACCTCAGAAACTGATGGTTCAATTTGTTTTTATAGAACTATGGTTTGATTTTTTTATAGAAAACATTTCCACAGAAACTGAGTTCTGAGGAAAAAATTCGAGTTTTTCTTTAGAAAAACATCCTCAGAAACTGAAGTTCGATTTTTATATAGGTTCCCGATTTTTTTTTCTGTAGAAAAGAAAAGGATCCATTTAAACATAGATTCGATTTTAAAGTGTAAGAAAAAAATCCTCATAATTTGAGGTTCGGCCTTTTCTATATGACAATTATTTTTTAGTATAGTAAAAATTCTTACAATATTTATTACATAATATTTATTTACATACAAATTACCCCTTGAATCACTCATCAAACATTCGTTCTTCTTCTTCCTTATTACAGAAGCGCTTTATGTGAATTCGAGCAAAGAAACTTAAAGGAATTCGGTGTATATAATCTGACTGTAAATGTGGATGGTACCTGTCGATTGGAGATCGATAAAGACGGCGTGAATGTCAATTACTGTAAGTTTACAATGTTAAAAAAAGACGGGGAGCGATAAAATTAGATTTATAATAAAATAATTGGTCACTGAACCGCTTTCCAATCGATGTATAATTTATATGCCATTTTTTTGCTCTTTGTTATTATTATTTTTTTTTATTACAGCACTGCTATCTGTATTCGTATTGGTGTCATTGGTATTGACTGTTTTAAAAATAGGACTGTGTGCCTGGCGTTCATATCGTTACGAGGATGAAATTTTGGATAATACCCCACCTTCGCCCACTACCCAGCCGACGTCGCGTAATCGTATGCGAAGTTTGGATGTATTTCGGGGGTAAGAAATATTTCACAAACAAAGTCGATACAAAGAACGCAATTGAACCAATTTCTTATAGGAAAAAACATCAGGAACTGAGGTTCAATTTTTATATTTATAGAAGGAAATTCCTTGTGAACTAAATATCGATATTTCTTTTCCATAGAAAGAACATTTCAATAACTTAGGTTCTCTTCCCCTCAGGAACTTAACGTTTTTCAGGAATTGAGGTTCAATTTTATTCTATAGGAATTGTGTTTTGAGGTTTAGAAAATGCCTCAGTGACTGCAGTTCGTTTTGTTTCTATAGAAAAAATACTCTGGTCCTCAGGAACTGAACTTAAAAATGAAGCTCGTTTTTTATAGAACATAAATTACTCAAGATTTTTTTAGAAAAAAATCGACAGGTTTTAAGCTTCCAATTTTTATACCCTTCACCACACTGTGGTACAGGGTATTATGTCTTTGTGCATGGTTTCTTTTGAGAATATGCATAGAATCACTTTCTAAGTCGATTTATACATGTCCGTCCGTCCGTCTGTCCACGTTAAATTGTAAACAAAGTGCAGGTCGCATTTATGATCCGATTTGGATGAAATTTGGCAAAGCTCACTTATTAGGCCCAAGGACGAACCCTATTGAAATTGGGAAAAATCGATTCAGATTTAAATATAGCTCCCATATATATTTTCGTTCGATTTTATGTAAATAGTTTACGAAAGCCCCTAAATTTCCTTCGATTTGCACCAAATTTGGCATAGCGTCTGAATTGAGTCTAGAGTGATGTGTGGTAAATTTCGTAAAAATCGGTTCAGATTTAGATATAGCTCCCATACATACCATACTAACATAGTGTACGAAAGCCCCTACATTTTCTTCGATTTGCACGAAGTTTGGCATAGCGTACTGGCATAGCGTTCGTCAAGAATGATGTGTGTTAAATGTCGGTTCAGATTTAGATATAGCTCCCATATATATTTTCGTCCGATTTTATGTAAATGGTGTACAAAAGACCTTTTAAATCTTTCGATTTGCACAAAATTTGGCATAGCACATTGAATTCAGTCTAGAATGGTGTGTGTTGAGTTTCGTGAAAATCGGTTCAGATTTTGATATAGGTCTCATATATATTTTCGTCCGATTTTATGTAAATAGTGTACGAAAGCCCCTACATTTCCTTCGATTAGCACGAAATTTGACATAGCGTACTGAATTGAGTCCAGATTATTGTGTGTTAAGTTTCGTGAAAATCGGTTCAGATTTGGATATAGCTCCCACATATATTTTCGTCCGATTTAATGTAAATGCTGTACCAAAGTCCATATATATCTTTTGATTTGCACGAAATTTGGCTTGGCACACTGAATTCAGTCTAGAATGATGTGAGTTATGATTCGTGAAAATCGGTTCAGATTTAGATATAGCTCCTAGACATATTTTCGTCCGATTTTATGTAAATAGTTTACGAAAGCCCCTAAATGTCATTCGATTTGCACCAAATTTGGCATAGCGTACTGAATTGAGTCGAAAGTAATGTGTGTTAAGTTTCGTGAAAAACGGTTCAGATTTAGATATAGCTCCCATACATATTTCCGTACGATTTTATGTAAATAGTGTACGAAAGCCCCTACATTTTCTTCGATTTGCACGAAATTTGGAATAGCGTACTGAATTTAGTCCAGAGTAATGCGTGTTATGTTTCGTGAAAATCGGTTCAGATTTAGATGCATATATATATATATATTCCTTCGATTTTCTGTTATTGGATCACCAAAGTACATATATATATATTTCTATCTACAGGATATTGTATATATTAGCGCATCTTGTATGTACCCATTGTGGTGAAGGGTATCATATAGTCGGCCCCGTCAGATTTAGATATAGCTCCCATACATATTTCCGTACGATTTTATGTAAATAGTGTACGAAAGCCCCTACATTTTCTTCGATTTGCACGAAATTTGGAATAGCGTACTGAATTTAGTCCAGAGTAATGCGTGTTATGTTTCGTGAAAATCGGTTCAGATTTAGATGCATATATATATATATATATATATATATATTCCTTCGATTTTCAAAGTACCAAAGTACATATATAGTACAAAGTACATATATATATTTCTATCTACAGGATATTGTATATATTAGCGCCTCTTGTATGTACCCATTGTGGTGAAGGGTATCATATAGTCGGCCCCGTCCGATTTTTGAACATTCCTTACTGCTTCTATTTAAAAAAGTATTTAAATTTATTTTCAGAGTTCCTATTTTAATCCCTCTTCTCTTTCAGGATGGCAATTGTTTTGATGATTTTCGTAAATAGTGGTGGTGGCGATTATTGGTGGATTGAGCATGCCCCATGGAATGGTTTACATTTGGCCGATGTTGTATTTCCATCATTCCTATGGATCATGGGTGTCTGCATACCGATTTCTGTAAAATCACAGTTGTCCCGAGGCACCACAAAAATGCAAATTTGTTTAAGGATAATATGGGTGAGTACAGAAGATAGCAAACTTTCAAGGCCACCTTCATTTAGACTTTTCATGAGGGTCTTACTGTTCCAATACATAAAAATGAATGTCTTCAATAGGTCTAAATTAATTTCGAATTATTTATTTTTTCAGAGATCCATAAAATTATTCTCCATTGGCCTTTGTTTGAACTCCATAAATGGTCCGAATTTGGAAAGTTTGCGAATAATGGGTGTTCTGCAACGCTTCGGCATAGCATATCTGATATGTGGCATCGTCCACACACTGTTGACGCAAACGGATCGTATTGAGCCCCAAGTGTGTGTTTGTTGTGTTCTAAAATTGAATTAAACTAATTGAAATTTTTCGTCACTTTTTAGGTCACTTGGAAACGTGCCCTATATGATATTATAACCTTCAAAGGAGAACTTGTGGTTGCATTGATTTTGGTCATTGTACATTTGTCTATTGTTTTTGGATTGAATGTACCCAATTGTCCCAAGTAGGTTTACATCTAGTTTGAGCCATATACTAATAGATTTATATATTTAATATTTTGCTTTTTATATATTTTTAGGGGTTATTTGGGTCCTGGCGGTCAACATTCCAATGCCGCCTATCCGGATTGTATTGGTGGTGCCACTGGCTACATAGATTTACAGATTTTGGGCAATTCTCATATATATAAACATCCCACAGCTAAATATATATACGATTCAAAGCCATTTGATCCGGAGGGAATATTTGGTAAGAAGGGATCTTAATTGCAAAGACAAAAAATCGAATTCCTAATAGGGATTTTATAGATAAAATAATGTAGTAAAAGAGGATAATTTTTTCGTAAACAGGTTTAGTGGTCGATAAAATTTTGGTATATAAAACAAAATTGTTCTTATGACCAAGGGACAAAATATTCAAACAGTAAGGAAATGAGAAAAATCGGACGAGTCCGGGTCATATGATATCCTACTTCAATCAATCTGTACACAAGTCAATCGGCAATGAAAGCAAAATTTCATATAAATCGTATAGATTCATGAACTTGGGAATTATACATATATCGGAACAAAATTTCTTTCTATCGGACAAAGGTTAAGGCGCAATCGACCAAAATAAAAAATAAATAAATCTGAGCCGATTTACCCTCCGTATTCGTGGATGCTGGTGTCTGAGACGTCTCAGTACTCAGTTACTGAGGGCTTAGACGTCTCAGACACCAGCCTCCTAGGTGTACTCGGAACTCCGATAGTCTTCTTCTTTGAAGGGACTACCGTGGTAGTCTTCCTAGTAGGTCTAGGAATCCTTTCAATCAAGAAGTCCCTCGCAATATCATTCGGATAGTTCCTGGAGAACTTCCGGATGAATTTGAGGTTCCTCTTGATCAACCGTCTGATGAATCGGTTGCAGTAGTTAACCGCTATCCGGTACATCTTCTTGGCAGCGATCTCCTTGGCATTGACTTGCCTTGCAGTTACTGATACTGATGATTCATCCATTTTAACGACGGGAGTCTCATCTGTACCAGTCTCCGCTTCGACAGCCAATTGCCTGAGAAGTTTCGCGACGACACTACAGGCCATGGAGATGGAGTTCGGATCCTCAACCTCGTTAGGGTTTACACCCCTACTCATCATCTGGGAAGACTCACCTTGCTTGGGAGGAGACACCAGGTAGCTACCGTGTTTGTCACCGTCCTCGTCCGACAAGGGTGAGTCATCCCAGAGTTCATTCGGGATGCTCTCCTGACTATGGCGGAAGTAGCCGGTTTCCTCTAATAAGTTGAGGAGAAGATCCGTCTGCCTCTCCAGGCTTTCTTTCACGTCGTCGAGAGTAACAGGACTAGAATGTGCTTTTAGAGTGGGATTGAGGTCAACCATGGCATAGCCTCTTACCATTTCAACGACTTGGCAACTAAGCCTGAATAACTTGTTGAGGCGCCCAGGACCCTGACTGCGAACCATAGAACGCTGATGGACACGAGGTCGCATGACACCCCAACGTCAGAGGGCCACTTTAAGAGGTGGTGACCCAGACTTTTAAGATGGTTATTTAGGGGCGCCATTCTCGCCTCGTCAGCTCAGGGTTCATAGGCACTCGGCTGATTGTCCGCGACTGTTTATTTGGTATTCGAAGTTACCCAATGAATAGTATTGGGCTTGGGCACTATCTGCAACCTGTGGACGCGTCCGTTAGCATTCATCTCTGCTCCCCGAAGGCGATGGGGGAATTTTAGACCTACTTCAATGCGATCTGCAAAATTTCGTCACAATCGGAAAAACGTTGGCTATTTGCTGAACAATTTCAATGAAATCGGACGGGAATATATGTATATGGGAGCTATATCGAAATCTGAACCGATTTCAACGATACTTTATACACGTCATTCTAGCCTCAATTTCATGACATTCGGATAATAAATGCGACCTGTATTTTCTATGCTATGTATATCCTCAAATATAATTTAATTTTGGAAGTTTTTTTTATAGAAAAAAAAATTATTCATTTAAATCTACATTCTCTTTCTAGGTTGCTTGCTGACAATTGTCCAAGTCCTCTTTGGCGTTCTAACGGGTGTCATAATACTAATACACACCGATTGGAGAGCACGCATAACACGCTGGTTACTTTGGTCCATGTTTTTAACCATTCTCACAGCAATTTTAAGTGAATTCTCCAAAGAGTCGGGAATAATACCTATCAATAAGAATTTATGGTAATTATTTAAAAATAATATAATAATATTCGATTTCAAATAAAATTCATTTGAAATCTCCACCTACTAGGTCACTCTCATTTGTTTGTGTTACCACTGCCTTGGCTTTTACGCTCCTCAGTTTATTGTATTACATTATTGATGTACGGCATTGGTGGACCGGCTATCCATTTGAAGCATGCGGCATGAATGCCATCATTATGTATGTCGGTCATACGGTTATGCATAAAATGTTACCCTGGCACTGGCGTATTGGTGCTATGAATACTCATTTCCTCTTACTATTGGAAGCCGTTTGGAATACTCTGCTATGGATTGGTATTGCCTTATATTTAGATCATAAAGAATTCTATTATAGTTTGTAAGATATCTAAATAAGTGTGTTTTATGTTTATGTTGCAATATTTTGTATAAGAAATAAATTTGTATAACTTTTTTTAAAGAAACACAAATGAAAATATGTTTTATTGGTGCAAAAAAAAAGTATGCTCATAATTTCGCATTTGCTTAGTGTCCATGGTACACTAAGCAAACAATCTGGCAACACATGAGCATTTTTCTGGTTTTGGCATTATATAAGGCGTGGATTTTTTAAATTAAAATTTTTAAGGCATTGATTTTTTAAATTAAATTTTTTAGGCGTAGATTTCTTAATTACATTTTTTAAGGCGTGAATTTTTTAAATTCAATTTTAAGGCGAGGATTTTTAAATTCAATTTTTTAAGGCGTGGATTTTTTAAATTCAATTTTATAAGGCGTGGATTTTTTAAATTCAATTTTTAGGCGTGGATTTTTTAAATTCAATTTTTTAAGGCGTGGATTTTTTAAATTCAATTTTATAAGGCGCGGATTTTTTAAATTCAATTTTTTAAGGCGTGGATTTTTTAAGGCGTGGAGTTTTTTAATTATTTTTTTAAGGCGTGGATTTTTTAAATTCAATTTTTTAAGGCGTGGATTTTTTAAATTCAATTTTAAGGCGTGGATTTTTTAAATTCAATTTTTTAAGGCGTGGATTTTTTAAATTCAATTTTAAGGCGTGGATTTTTTTTTTAAATTCAATTTTTTAAGGCGTGGATTTTTTTTTTTAAATTCAATTTTAAGGCGTGGATTTTTTTTTAAATTCAATTTTTTAAGGCGTGGATTTTTTTAATTCAATTTTTTAAGGCGTGGATTTTTTAAATTCAATTTTTTAAGGCGTGGATTTTTTAAATTCAATTTTTTAGGCGTGTATTTTTTAATTAATTTTTTTAAGGCGTGAATTTTTTAATTATTTTTTTAAGGCGTGGATTTTTTAAATTAAATTTTTAATGCGTGCATTTTTTAATTAAATTTTTAAGGCGTGGATTTTTTAAATTCATTTTTTTAAGTCGTGGATTTTTTGAATTAAACAGAGAATCATTTATTGAGATTTTTTGTCACGCCTAAATAAAAATAAAACAATTTAAATTCCTTCGGTTTTTGTTTCTTTCGTTTTTTTCTTCTTCTTTCTTTTATTGAATTTAGTTTTCATTTAAAGTAGTAGCTGCATTCATAGTTATTTGTTGTTAATATATTAAGTATATATATTTTGATATACAAATGTATAAAAATATTAAATACAAAAAAATCCTATAAACTATTTGTTGAACTATTTCCCAATGGGAAAAGTTTCAATCATAAAAAAACTATTATTTATAAAATCGTTCATTCAGGATGGATATTTCATTTAAAAATATTTTAATTAGGATGATGAGATTAGATTTCATGTATATATCTTTTACATACAAATGGTTATGGACATTTTATATAAATTATAGTTATTATTTATTTTGTATATATATAAACTACCATAGTCAATATGTATTATTATTATTTGATGTATATATTTATAAAAAATTGTATGTTATTGTTTCCCCTAAATAATGTATAAAAAAATTGCTCAGTTGGTTTTTAGTAGATCTTTTTTGTGCTATTTTTATTTAGTTGTTTTTTTTTTAATAGTAATTATTGTTGTTGTTTTTCAATTCAAATATTGTGTATTGTTTTTTTTTAATATATTTTGTTGTTAGGAATTATCGGTTTCATTCTACACACGATGTTGTTACAAGTGTCCAAATGCCTGTATTAGAGACATAACCCATAAAATGTAGATATTGCAGAGTTGAAATTTTACAAATGTGTTCTACACAAACAAATTGAGTATTTCATTCTCTCTATTATTTAGTAATTTCAGACTTCTTCTACAAGTAATCCTCTTATGACTTCTGCAAAAATTACCGTACCAAAAATAAAACCTCTAAAAACGACTCGCTTCAATACATTCGATTAATATTTAAAAACTGTTATCTGGGTTTGTATATCTATACGATTACTTTTTATCGTCTAAACGAACTACTTTCTGGTTATCTTTAAGTACTAGCAGCTCAGTTCGTCTGTAAAAACCTCCATCTTCAGCTCCCCTATACAAACTCCTTTCAGCTCGCCTATAAAGACTCACTTACATAATCTCAATTCAGCTCGTCTACAGACTTCATTTAGCATATCCCTTAAAACGTCCTACAGCGACCTTTGCTCGTCTATAAATAATCCCTTTAATTCATCTTTTAAGAATACCATCAGCTTGCCTATAAAGACTACCTTCAGATCGTCGTATTTAATTTCCTTCTGATTATCTATAAAGACGTCCATAAGTTTGTGTATAAAGACTGCATTTAGCTCGTCTTAGAAAGACCCCCTTCTGCTCGTCTAAAAAATACTGTCTTCAACTTGTCTATAAAGACTCCGTTTAGCTGGCTATTGAATCTCTCCTCAGTCTGCCCATAAATACTCTCGTCAGTTCATCTATAAGGCTTCAATTAAGCTTGTCTTTAAAGATGCATATCATCTGACTATAAAGAATGCATTCAGCCTGTCTATAGAGACTCCCTTAATCTAGTAATATAGACCTCGTTTAGCTCGTTATAAAGATATCTTTCAGTTCTTCCATAATGACTCTACTTCAGCTGGCCTCTAGAGTCTCTGCTTCAGTTCGTCTATAAAGACTCCCGTTCAGCTCGTCTATAAAGACTCCCAGCTTCAGCTCGTCTATAAAGACTCCCAGCTTCAGCTCGTCTATAAAGACTTCCTTCAGCTCGTCTATAAAGACTTCCTTCAACTCGTCCATAAAGACTCCCTTCAACTCGTCTATAAAGACTCCCGTTCAGCTCCTCTATAAATACTTCCGTACACCTCCTCTATAAAGACTAACTTCAGCTCGTCTATAAAGACTCCCTGCTTCAGCTCTTCTATAAAGACTCCCAGCTTCAGCTCGGCTATAAAGACTCCCAACTTCATCTCGTCTATAAAGACTCCCTTCAACTGGTCTATAAAGACTCCCGTTCAGCTCGTCTATAAAGACTCCCTTCAACTGGTCTAAAAAACTCAGCTCGTCTATAAAGACTCCAATCAGCTCGTCTATAAAGACTCCCTTCAGCTCGTCTATAGAGACTCCCGTTCAGCTCGTAATATAGACTTCCTTTAGGTGGTTATAAAGACATCTTCCAGTTCTTCCATAAATACTCTACTTCATCTCGCCTCTAAAGTCTCTGCTTCGGCTCGTCTATAAAGACTCCCTTCAGCTCGTCTATAAAGACTCCCTTCAGCTCGTCTATAAAGACTCCCTTCAGCTCGTCTATAAAGACTCCCTTCAGCTCGTCTATAAAGACTCCCTTCAGCTCGACTATAAAGACTCACTTCAGCTCGTCTAAAAAGACTACCTTCAACTGGTCTAAAAAACTCCCTTCAGCTCGTCTAAAAAGTCTCCCTTCGGCTCGCCTATAACCACACCTTGTCTTCAGTTTGTCTATAGTTTTGTCTTTTCCATAAAGACTTTTTTTGACTCTTCTAAAAAAAACTCCACAATTTGTTCGCCTAAAAAATCTAATGCAAATAATCTATACTGATACATAACCCCATTTTTTTCCGTGGACACATTTCAAAACTACATTTTGGGCTCGGTCATTTACAAAAAAATATATATACATACATATTTAAGGTTTCAGACATTAGAGTACATCGTGTTATTATTAAGTTTACATATATATATTAAATAAATCCTCTTATATAATTGGCATATTTTTGTATAGAAAAAATGTGATTGGCATGTTTCTCGGTTTATTAATGGAATATTGAAATACTAGATGTTGTTAAATTCTATTTCTATTGTTTTTCACAGACTCAAAAAGTATCAAATTTGTTTTTTTTTTTTAATACATATATATAATATTCGTTCGTTTGTTATTTATTATCTTAAATAGTTTTGATTTCAATTTCTTGCTTTTATAAAGTTTTTTTTTATTAAATTTTCAGTCATTTCATTTTCATTAATTTTTTTTTCATGGAATATTTTTTTAACGAAATTAAATTAAATTACAATATAAAAATTCTTTATAAAAAAGTGTTTTTATGTGTGTGTGTGCATTTTACATAAATTAAATTATAATCAAAATCAAAACATATTTATTAATGTTTTGTTTGTAAAAAAAAAAAACAAAATCAAATTATATATTTTATGGTAAATATAAATGCATTGTTTGTTTTGTTTTATTGTTCTATTTCTATTGTGTTTTTGTTTTGTTTTCTATTGTAGCGTACAATCACAACACATCAAGGTGTAATACAAACACTTGACCACCTTCTCATCATCTTCGGCTGCCTCGCTTTTTGTATCCTCCTTGGTGGCCGCGGGCACACCATCCAATTGATCCAAACCCTTGCCCTTCGCTGCAAGTTTATTCTTCTTTTTCTTTTTCGTTTTGGTTAGGAATACACGATCGTTACGATCTTGTATCGCTGAATCGATCCAATCTAAATCAGCGCTTGGAATTTTATCGCTTGTTGTATCTTCTGTTATACTTTCAATGGAATTAACATCACCCTGTAAAATAGCCAAGACAGCAACAAAAAATAAAAAAAGGTTTAGAAAAGTGTTAATTATAATTAACACTCAGAGGCGTTTAAAGTTGTTTATCACTATTTTGTTTATAGTTTTATTTAGCAGATATCAAGAATTGTTATGGTTTATTAATTAATTTTCAATAATAGTTTTATTAGCACAATAAAAAAAATCAGAGTAATTTCTTGGGGATTTTAAAACAATAAAAAATTATAACTCCTCATAAAATTTTAAATTCCCCAGACATTTTTATGGACAATATAATAAAATAATTATATGGTCGAATTACAGTCGTTATTATTATACCCTCCACCATAGTATGGAGGGTATATTAATTTTGTTTTTCTGTTTGTAACACATCGAAATAATCATTTCCGACCCTATAAAGTATATATATTCTTGATCAGCGTAAAATTCTATGACGATATAGCCATGTCCGCCTGTCTGTTGTAATCACTCTAGCGTCGAAACGAATTGAGATAGATCGCCAAAAATTTGCATAGAGTCGTCCTTTGTCTGCAGGCAGGTCAAGTTCGAAGATGGACTTTATCGGTCCACGTTTAGGCATAGCTCCCATATAAGGGTAACCCCCAATTTTTGGTATTTTGAGGTTCTTGAGCGCGTTTTTCAACCGAATTCGCTGAAATTCGGTACATTGGGTTCTTATTGGGTACCAAATTTCCCCACTAAAAATTATAGTGGGGAAATTTGGTAGCCCCATATGAGGGTACCCCCCAATTTTGCGGTATTTTAGGGTTCTTGAGCGCGGTTTTCAACCGAATTCGCTGAAATTCGGTACTTTGAGTTCTTATTGGGTAGCAAGTCTCTATACTAAAAATTATAAATATAGGTCAATTTTTTCGGGTAGCACCCATATAAGGGTACCCCCCAATTTTCGGTATTTTAGGGTTCTTGAGCGCGGGTTTCAACCGAATTCGTTGAAATTTGGTACATTGGGTTCTTATTGGGTACCAAATTTCCCCACTAAAAATTATAAATATAGGTCCACTTTTTCTGGTAGCCCCCATATAAGGGTACCTCCCAATTTCCAGTTTTTGGGGGGTTTTGACCGGATTTTTTCACCGAATTGGCTGTAATTTAGTAATTTCAGTTATTATTGGGTAGTAAATCTCTCCACAGAAAATTATAAATAGAGATCAATTTTTTCGGGTAGTCCCCATATAAGGGTACCTGCAATTTTCGATATTTTGAGGTTCTTGAGAGCGTTTTTTTAACCGAATTCGTTGAAATTTGGCATAGCCTCATATAACTTTGTAATCTAAATTACAGTAGTTTGAGGATTTTATACTCTACCATGCGTTATCAGTGTCAGTCCACTTTTTGGATCTTGCAGATTTTAGGAAAAATCTCCATTAAAAATTGCTGAAGTTTGTGTTTGGTGTACATAATGGTTTACATAAATCGGTTTGTAGAATTATCGGTATATACCCACTTTTTGGTATGTTCCCTATAGTCAGCACCAAACTTTTTATTAATTCTGCTGCCTTCCAAATCGCAAAGATTTCAGCTAGGAAAACACTTCAGTTGCTATCCAGGGGTAAGCTCAAGGTCTAGCCTTTCAAAGTAGACGCCAGATAAAGTACCTTCTTCCATCTTGGAAACGTCTGTATAAAAAGACCGACCGTCCGTCCAGTGGAGGGTTACTACGGTTCCAGTCGTCTCTACTGAGGAATAACGACATCTACATCATCAAATCTCAGGACTGGTGATATATAGTCGCTTTGTTTTCCACGTTGGTCCATGCCCATAGGCACAACTTCGCCAAAGATTCTGTTCATGCAGCCTTATGGCGCGACTCTTAATGCTAAACCCAGAGGCTTATGTTCAGCATTGCGTTGAGAGCTGCTTGGGGAGTGCTCCTCGCGGCTCCAGTTATAAGCATCGAGGCTGCTCTTTGTACATTATCTAGTTTGCTGGATGTCGACTTATAGCGTAGGCAGTGCCACCGAACAAGAGGTCCACCAATCCCACAGCAGCGGGTTCTACGATAGCGGATTGACCCGATTCATCTCCGCCAGCGGCTGCCCACCCAGTTATATATGTTTGTATTGTTTTTCTGTTTTGGGTGCCGGTATTGAACAAAACCCCGTCAGCTGGCTGCCCATAATTTCTCTTGGTTCAGACCACCTCCCCATAATCGTCTCCATTAGCAGACCGCCCATAACCATAGAAAAGCCAACTGGTAAGGATTCAGAGAGTTCACCAACCAGAGACCTTTCAATTCCTTCTGACGTACGGGTAGCAGAAAGGAAATTCCGAGGCATCATTACCGCTGCAGCTGCTAAATTTATACTTGCTAGTCGGTTTGCAGTCAGGGTACCGACTGTATTAGAACGGAGCCTTGTTGATACCTGGGCGCCTCAACAAGTGTTTCAGGCTTAGTTGCCAAGTCCTTGCCATGGTAAGAGGCTATGCCATGGTCGACCTCAAATCCTCACAAACAGCACTTTCTATGGAGCCAATTTTTAATACCCCCCCCCCCCCAAAAAACAAAACAATGAATGCGAATCTTCGACTGATGTTGGTGTGGCTGCCTTGGCACCCTCAGTCCCGAACTCTACAAGGTCAGACATCAATAATTCCCCCAAAGTGTTGACGACCCAAGCAATTCCCCTGGACCTATCTTTAGCCACCTGTCCATCTCTCGATGACGTAAATGCGAGCCTGGAGAGGCAGTCGAATCTTCTCCTCGACCTTCTAGAGGAAACCGGCTCCTTCCGCCTCAGTCAGGAGAGCATCCCAAATCAGCTCTGGGATGACTCTCTCTTGTCGGACGAGGATGACATTATGGAAACCACCGTTATTAGAACCACGGTGATAAGCACGGTAGAAACCATGATGTCTCCCCTGAAGCAAGGAGGGTCCCCTCGGCTGACTAATGAGGCAAACCCTGGCGAGGTTGAAGACGTTGACTCAACCTCCACGGCCTGCAGTGACGTCGCGAGGCTTCTAAGGCAGTTGGCTGTCGAAGCAGATGCTGGCACCGATGAGGCTCCCGTCGTTAAGATGGATGATTCATCGGTACCATTATCTGATAGACAAGCTGACGCTAAGGAGATCGCTGCCAAGAAAATGTATCGGAGAGCAGTAAATTTCTGCAAACGGTACATTGGACGGGACAGCGACTCCATCACGGGTAAGGAGTTCCTGTTAATCAAGAGGAACCTCAAACTCATTAGGAAGTTCCCCAGGAACTATCCTGATGACATTGAGAGGGACTTCTTGATTGACAGGATCCCCCGACCCAGTACTAAGACCACGGCGGTAGTCCCTTCTAAGAAGGAGAAACCTGCTGATGGCCCCGGTACATCCAGGAAGCTGATGCCTGAGACGTCTAAGCCCTCAGCACCCCCAAAGGGTAAACTGAGTACTGAGACGTCTCAGACATCAGAATCCACAAAGACAGAAGGCAGGGGACTGTCGAAGTCGGCCCGAAAGAGAGCCCGCAAAAAGGCCTCCAAGAAGACCGATAAGGCACAACCGCCCTCTGTCAATCCACCTTCTGCCGAATTGCCAAAGCTGACAGCCAAGGCGGTGACAATTGGGCAGTCGTCAGTGGTCAAGCAGAAGGTAGCGGACGCGAAGCAGGTGCCTGCGTCTGCTGGGCATACCTCTGCGGTAGCTGCTACCCCGGGTGCCAAATCTCGGCCACAGCCCACGGCTGTCAAGAGAATGAGGTCCTCGGAGGAGCAACAACCTGCTGCAAAGAGGCCCACGCAGTCGTCGGCCGTACAGAGCTCTGCTTCCTTTGCTTCGGTGGTAGCGTCGAAGGAGAAACCTGCCAAGAGCAGCGATTGTGGGGTGAAAACCAAACACGCTGTCTCGAAGCAGGTAGCCCAGACACCTACAACTAAGCAAAGCGACTCTGCTGATCCAAAAGAGGTTCCGGAAGATCTGCGGGTAGCGATCATCGACCGAGCTGACCCTGACGGGTTTATCAGTGAGGAGAGATGGGAGCTGGTCGACAGCTATCTGAAGGACCTCTTCCTGTCCGACGAGGTTGATCGTGAGAGCCTGCGGTTTGGCCTGACCTCCTCTTACAAAGGAGTAAAGGTTGTTGATTGTCGCACTAAGAAGACTTCAGATTTTCTTAAGAAGACAATCAACAGCCTGGACCCCCTTTGGGAGGGTGGTCGTCTGGCGGCCGTAGCGGTTCAAGAGATACCGAGCGGTATGGTAACCTCGGTGTTTATCCCAAAACCTTTCAAGGGGCTGGAGAAGACACTGAGGTTATTGGAGAAGCAGAACGACGGCCTTCAGACGAGGAGGTGGAGAATCCTCGCCTCGTTTGAAAGGAACGGCGGTGTAGTCGCTACCGATTCTGCGGGAGAGGAGTACTTGAGGAAGAACAAGGGTGAGCTTGTTTATGGAATGGGGAAACTTTGTTTCCGTCTCACCACTCCAAAACAATAGGCAGGCAGCAGCAAGCGCTTAACGTGATCCAGATAAATCTGCATCACTGTAAAGCAGCAGCTGCTGAACTGCTACTCACCCTTTCTTCCTCAAACATCGACGTGGCGCTCATCCAGGAACCTTACCTGTACAAAGGTAAGGTGACTGGACTGGGCGACACCAAATACACGCTTTTGTCTACCTCCAATGGAGAGAAGGTGAGAACGTGTATTCTTGCTAAAAAGGAGTTAAATTTAATGCTTCTTTCTAATTTCAGCAATGGAGATATGACGACAGCAAGACTAGACAGAGGTACCACGAAGCCACTGATAGTCTCTGCCGTCTATCTTCCCTACGAAGCTCCTGACCCACCCGGCACTGTTGTATGCCGCCTATTGGAGGAGATGAGTAGAGTTGGTGACCTCGTCTTGGGATGTGACGCCAACGCACATCACTTCTATTGGGGAAGCAGCAACACAAACACAAGAGGTGAGTCCATCTTCGAGTTTATACTTAGCTATAATCTTAGAATTTGTAATAGAGGCAATACACCAACTTTTGTAAATAGG